CTGAGGATACAAGGGGTCTTGAAAATGGTCTTAGTTCTGTGGGAATAAGATTCGAAATTCAACCTGATATTCGTGAGAGCCTTGACGAAGATGATGAGGATATGTCSGGGGATGAAGGAGACGAAGTTGATGAAGATGAGGATGGAGAGGACGAAGGACAAAATGATCTGGAAGAAGATGAAGTGCATCACTTGCCCCATCCTGACACTGATCAAGATGATCATGAAATTGAAGATGAGTTTGATGAGGACATGATTGAGGAAGAAGATGAGGATGATGAAGACGATGACGGTGGAGTTATACTAAGATTGGGTGAGGGAATGAATGGCATAAATGTATTGGATCATATTGAGGTATTTGGTAGAGACCATAGTTTTTCCAACGATTCTCTCCATGTGATGCCTGTTGAAGTTTTTGGTTCCAGACGCCAAGGTCGTACAACTTCTATATATAATCTTTTGGGGAGGTCAGGTGATRGCTCTGTTCCATCTCAGCATCCACTTCTAATGGAGCCTTCTTCGTCGCGTGTAGTTTCTTCCCGACAAGCAGGTAACTTTTTCTTGTGGATGGTCTTAGCAATATAAGTGTCTTTATACATCTTTACCTTGTTAAGAATCCATTTCTTTTGTTTGGGTAATATCAAATGTTTTTGCTTCATTCTCTGCTACTTTGTGCTGGTCATACTCAGCTTCTTTGTTCCCCTAATCTGTGTTTACTAATTTTTCTGTTTCGCTTCTCCTTCCAGAAAATGCACGTGATGGGCACCTTGAAAGAAATTTGGAGTCATCCTCATCACGACTGGATTCAATCTTCCGGTCTTTGAGGAATGGTCGCCACGGACAGCATGGGCATCGTCTTAGCATGTGGACCAATGACCAGCAAAGTGGTGGATCTAATGCATCTAGCATCCCCTTAGGCCTTGAAGATCTGTTGGTTTCTCATCTGAGGCGTCCGACTCCAGAGAAGGCCTCTGATCAAGACAAAATGGTGGAGGCTCAAACTAAAAATGAGTCTGGTCAATCCCAAGGATCAGCTGGGATGGTACCTGACACTGCTGCTGAGAACAATGATAATGGGGATCAAGTTCCTCCTGCTTCATTGAGTGGCTCTCGTGATTCTGGAAACGCACCAACGGTAGATGAAACTCAAGGGGGCACTGATGTACCGGTTGGACAACCTCAATCTGTGGATATGCAGTTTGATAGCAATGATGCTGTTGTGCGGGATGTTGAAGCTGTGAGCCAAGAAAGTAGTGGAAGTGGAGCCACATTAGGAGAAAGCCTTAGAAGTCTGGATGTTGAAATTGGAAGTGCTGATGGCCATGATGATGGGGGAGAGAGACAAGGTTCCTCTGATTTGCGAACAAGGAGAACAAATGTATCAGTTGGGAACACGACATCAATAAGCGTGAGAGATGCAGCCCTTCATAGTGTAACAGAGGTTTCAGAAAATCCTAGTCAAGAAACAGASCAGAGTGATTYGGCTCAGGATGCACAGCGTGATGGTGCTGGTGGTTCTGCGCCAATTGACCCTGCATTTTTGGATGCACTTCCTGAGGAGTTACGTGCTGAGGTTCTTTCAGGCCGACAGGGTCCAGTGGCACAGCCTTCGAATACCGAACCACAAAATGACGGAGATATAGACCCTGAATTCCTTGCAGCACTTCCCCCGGACATTCGAGCAGAAGTTTTAGCACAGCAGCAGGCACAGGGGGTTCACCGGTCACAAGAATTGGAAGGTCAACCTGTGGAGATGGATACTGTTTCGATAATTGCTACATTCCCGTCAGAATTAAGGGAAGAGGTATGTCTTTTCTTCAWATAATACTAGTTGCTTGTGATTTCATCCTGGTTCCATCGTTTTTCTTAATATTCATTTCTTTTGAGTKTTGTCAATCCTCAGGTCCTTCTAACGTCCTCTGATGCCGTTCTTGCTAATCTCACGCCTGCTCTTGTTGCGGAGGCAAACATGTTGCGGGAGAGGTTTGCTCGTCGTTACAATCGGACACTTTTTGGTATGTTCCCTAGAAGTAGGAGAGGTGAGTCATCTAGAAGAGGTGAAGGAGTTGGATCTAGCATGGATAGAACTGGCGGAATCATTACTCGTAGGTCAAGTGGAAGCAAGCCTGTTGAAACTGACGGKRCTCCTTTAGTTGRCAGAGAAGATCTTAWAGCAATGATTAGGTTGCTTCGTGTAGTTCAGGTGAAAATTTGGTATACTGGTTTTCTTCCATACATGCTCACATTTTCTCATCAATCTTTATTTTTGTTTTTACACAGCCACTATATAAACCTCAGCTCCAGAGACTGCTYTTGAATTTGTGTGCTCACGTTGAAACCCGATCGGCTGTAGTGAAAATATTRATGGATCTATTAATGCTTGATATAAGAAAGCCTGGAAATAATTTGCATGCTTCTGAGCCATCATATAGGCTTTATGCCTGCCAAAGTCATGTGATGTATTCTCGTCCTCAATGCTTTGATGGTAAGGATCTTATYAATGATTGCTGGTTACTTGCTTGTAGGAAGCAAAACATTTTTAAGCTAAAGTTATGATCTTTATTATAGGTGTYCCTCCACTGGTGTCACGGCGTGTTCTAGAAACTTTGACATATTTGGCCAGGAATCATTCGTTTGTTGCAAAACTTTTGCTTCAGTTCAGATTCCCTCCAACAGCTGGCCAAGAGTCTGAGAGTCTTGATCAGTCTCGTGGAAAAGCTATCATGGTTGTTGAAGAAAATGAAACAGAAAAGCAGCAAGAAGAAACCTTAGCCATATCAATGCTGTTGAGCCTCTTGAATCAACCACTTTATTTGAGAAGTATTGCCCATCTCGAGCAGGTTAGTCGTTGGACTAATACCCTCTTTTTTCGCAATTTTGTAAGTTCAATATGCAGAGACATTGCAATTGTCTGATTACTGTTTGATCTGTGTTTCAGCTGTTGAACTTGTTAGATGTCATTATTGATAATGCTGAGAGTAAGCAAGCTCCGGTTGAGCAGGGGGTATCTGTTACTGAAGAATCACCTGGTCAGACGTCTACATTAGATATTAATGCTGGTGGGTCTGGCTCGAATACCAAATCGTCCAAAGCTGATTATACTTCTAAGCCCTCATCTTCTGTTGCTAATACGGAATACGACTCTCATGCTATTCTGCTAAACTTGCCACAAGCAGAACTACGTCTTCTCTGCTCACTGCTTGCACGTGAATGGTAAGGGATTAATCTTTTCAGTTCAGTTTGCTGATTCTGTGTCAAATACATACATACACATATACATACATACATATGCACATACACACACACACACACACACTCTCTCTCTCTCTCTCTCTCTCTATCTATACCCTTTTCTTTGGCTTCTTAAAATCTGCAATATAGTTGTGCATTGTTGACTGTTAAGCTAACCATTCTCTATGAGATGACTCTGAAAGATGGGTGCTCATTTGGTCCATGTGTTTACTTGTTGCTATGAGAATTTTCATGTCTGTCTACAATGACCGAAAATCTGGTTACTACAACTGCATGGCATTCAGCTAATATACAAGATCTTTATTTTTCAAGAGAGTAAATTACAATTTTCGTCCCTGTGGTTTGTTAATAATTTCAATTTTCATCCCTGTGGTTTGCAATTTATTGCTATTATCMTACCTTTAAAGTACAAGGGTCCAAAACAGTAAAGAATTGTAAACCACAGGAACCGGAACAGCAATAAATTGTAAATCATAAGGATGAAAATAGCTATAAATCATAAACCACAGGGACAAAAACCGCAATTTCTAAACCATAGGGATGAAATCGCAATTTTTAACAAACCACAGGAACGAAATACATAATTTATTCCATTTTAAATTACTTATGTTAGCATCTGATTAACGATCTCATGCCTGAGACATAGAATCATCCATGCTGTTTGTATTATCTGAAAGTTCAAACCCGTATAAATATCACCATGCAAGTTATAGTGGTCATTGTTATTATGGGTGCTTGTTGCCAAGTGCATTGCTTTTGAAAAGTTTTGATGTGAATACGTACCTGAATCTGTTCTGCTGTGTTAATATTGATTTTGTTTTTGTAGTTTATCGGATAATGCATATGCTCTTGTGGCGGAAGTACTGAAAAAGTTGGTGACGATTGCACCACGTCACTGTCATTTATTCATAACAGAGCTAGCTGGCGCTATGAAGAACCTTACAACAGTGGCCATGGATGAATTATGTCGATTCGGTGAAATTGAGAAAGCACTTATTACCACAACTGCTTCAGAYGGAGCAGCAATCTTAAGGGTCATACAAGCATTAAGCTCACTTGTTGCTTCACTTTATCAAGAAAAAGACCACACACTTCCCGAAAAGGATCAAGCTGCCACTCTTTCTCTAGTTGGTGACATAAATGCCGCTTTGGAGCCATTGTGGACGGAATTAAGCACGTGCATCAGCAAAATCGAGAGCTACTCAGATACTTCACCTGATATACCTGATTCATCGATGATTTCAACATCAAGACCTTCTGGTGCAATGCCTCCACTTCCAGCCGGCACTCAGAACATCTTGCCATATATAGAATCTTTCTTTGTTATGTGTGAGAAATTGCATCCTGGGCATCCAGGTGGAGCGCAAGATTTTGGTGTGGCTGCAGTGCCTAATATTGACGAGGCCACCACTTCTGATGGCCAACAGAAAACTTCTGGGCCATCGATGAAGGTTGATGAAAAGCATGTAGTATTTGTGAAGTTCTCGGAGAAGCATAGGAAACTTCTCAACGCTTTTATTCGGCAAAATCCTGGATTGCTTGAGAAATCATTCTCCCTTATGCTGAAGGTCCCTCGTTTTATTGATTTTGACAACAAGCGATCCCATTTTAGATCTAAAATTAAGCATCAACATGATCACCATCATAGTCCTTTGAGAATCTCTGTAAGACGAGCATACATACTTGAAGATTCGTATAATCAATTGCGGATGAGATCCACACAAGATTTGAAAGGTAGATTGACCGTTCACTTTCAAGGGGAAGAAGGWATTGATGCAGGTGGTCTTACCCGAGAATGGTATCAGCTTTTATCAAGGGTTATTTTTGATAAGGGAGCTCTGCTGTTTACAACTGTTGGCAACGAATCTACGTTTCAGCCAAATCCAAATTCTGTTTATCAGACAGAACATCTCTCATATTTYAAATTTGTTGGAAGAGTTGTGAGTGCATTTGCTTTTCATCTTTGGGGTCGGAACTATATTCGTTCTTTTTCTTACTTTCTGTAGCTTACGATTCCACTTTGTTGTAGGTCGGGAAAGCACTATTYGATGCTCAGTTGCTTGATGTTCATTTCACAAGATCGTTCTACAAGCACATTCTTGGGGTGAAAGTGACATACCATGATATAGAAGCTATCGATCCAGGTTACTTCAAGAACTTGAAGTGGATGCTCGAGGTGTGTTTATTGTCATATTTGAGCAACTTTTGGTGAACTTTTTGTGATGTTTTTGAATAAGTTTTGGTGCTAATTCATTTTGTGTTTGAAATTCTTCTGCAGAATGATATCAGTGACATTCTAGATCTAACATTTAGTATCGATGCTGATGAAGAGAAGCTGATATTGTGTGAAAGAACAGAGGTAAAATTTTCTAATGTAATATACTTATGGGATAAATATGGTCATTTTAATCATGATAACTGTGATTTTCATAATATAGGTGACTGACTATGAACTGATCCCTGGTGGAAGAAATATTCGAGTGACAGAGGAAAACAAACATAAATACGTCGATTTAATYGCTGAGCATCGATTAACTACGGCAATACGTCCTCAAATAAATGCTTTTCTGGAAGGGTTTAACGAATTGATTCCTCGGGATTTGATATCTATTTTTCATGATAAGGAATTAGAACTGTTAATAAGTGGGCTTCCAGATATCGACTGTAAGTTCCCTTTATGTTTCATCATTGTTATATTGCAACTGTTACTCCCYCAGTCCCAAAGTAATTGTTCATATTTCTATTTTAGCTTGTCCYAAAAGAAGTGTTCACTCCCAAAAGTTAGTGTTTACTTTCYAATTCTACCCTTAATGATGTAGATTGAGAAATTCATTACTCCCTTTGTTATTAAGGGTAAAATTGTCATTTGGTTAATTGAAGTGTAATAATTACATATTTCTAAAAGTGTGCCTTTTTCATTGTGGGCATTTATATTTTAGATGATGGAGTATAATTCTWTGCTTTTCCAATATATATTCGTTTCTTAAATATACATGTTTATGTTCTCAGTGGATGACATGAAGTCGAATACGGAGTATTCTGGTTACAGTGCTGCTTCTCCGGTTATCCAGTGGTTTTGGGAGGTTGCTCAAGGCTTCAGCAAAGAAGACAAGGCTCGTTTGCTGCAATTTGTGACCGGTACCTCAAAGGTATCTTGTTTTATTTGGACTCTTTCTTTAAATGCATATTTGGCAAGAATAAAACGAAATAAAATGAGCCCAATGTATCCCACCCGGAGGTGGGTCTGGGAAGGTAGATGTACGCAGACTTGACCTCTGCTATCAAAAAGTGTGTGACAAAGATGGAAATATATTTTGGCAAGAACAAGTTAAAAAAATTCAGCTCGTTAAAATTATGTTGCTAATTAAGCCTCTWCTTTTTCTTGCAGGTGCCTTTGGAAGGATTCAGTGCATTACAAGGCATCTCGGGATCTCAAAAATTTCAGATCCACAAAGCATATGGAAGACCCGACCATTTGCCTTCCGCTCACACCTGGTAACGTTTCTGTTTGACTACTTTAGCGCCTGTATGTAGCAGCTTAATGAGACTCGGAGCTTATTCGGTCAGCTATATATGACTGTTTTATAGTGGCTTAATGACATAGAAAGTGGCTTATTCAGTAAGCTTCTGGGGGGAGCTTTATGTAGAAAGCCAAGTAGTTCTTTCTAAACCTGCTCCTTCCAGTTAAAAAAAAATGCTCCTTCCATCTATGAAAAACCCTCCCAAACAAGTCTTCCCAATCTATACAGACATATGAATCCCACATAGACAGCTTTATTCATAGAGGATTTAATTGAAAACTAACCTAACAGCCTCTGCCTTTGTTGAATATATCAAATTTTACTCAGCAGATCAAATGGTTTTATGGTACACCATGAAAATCTTTTTAAGCAGATGATCTTATCCCCAAAACCCATTCTCTTTCTGGTTTATGCTTATAATGGGAAAAAGGTGTACTTTTAGTGTGGGTATGATACGCAGGACAGGATAGTACAATAACTTGTCCTCTCACGCTTGGTGCAACATTAGACTGAGATGGGACTTGACTTGAGTGGGACTAAAATGCACTTTTTTTTTCCTTAATGGTTCATAGCTTATTCTGTCAGCTATATGTGACTGTTTGGTAGTGGCTTAATAATATAGAAAGTGACTTATTCAGTAAGCTTCTAGGGGAAGCTTTATGCAGAAAGCCAAGTTTTTTTCCCCAAACCATTCCCTTCTAATTAAAAAACACACTCCTTCCATCTATGAAAAAACCTCTCAAAGAAAAACCTTCCCAATCTACAGAGACATATTAATCCACATAGACAAGTTAATCCGTACAGGAATAGAAAACCAACAAAACAAACCCCTAAAACCCCAACACATTCATAGTTCTCTCACTTGCCTTCCTCAATCTCACCTGTCCAGTCCCGTCTGCGTATCAAAGGCATGTTTTATGGACTGAAATTTCCTGCATTTATTTTTAGGTGGAGAGAGTATATAGTTTTAGAGTCCAATAAATTAAATGTATGACAAGAGTAACAATGGTTTATTTATTTATTTAAATTTTATGCAGTTTCAATCAATTGGATTTACCAGAATATCCTTCAAAAGAACATCTGGAGGAGAGGCTATTGCTTGCAATTCATGAAGCTAATGAAGGGTTTGGTTTTGGTTAAAAAGTGAGAGGAAAAGGTGATGGATGTAGATAAGATTTTTATCAAAATCAAACAAGAGATACATGCGTTGATATACTAGTGTACAGTTTGAGCTTGTCAAAAAATTGAAGTTTTTTTCTTTCTAATCGTTATTTATTTAGTTGGCAGTTTTTATTTGTTGCCAATTTTCTGTTAGAAGTTGGGTTTGCAAACTTGCCCTGCAATTGTACATTGGAACAGTTTATTGGCTGTTTTACTTAGTTGCATTATATTAGAGTCATTTAGCATCTGAATCAATTATATGATTCAACAAGTTTGCTTGTTTATGATTATTAGACTAATTTATGTTTTTTGTCCCTGTGGATTTCCGTCTCTAGACTTTAAGTGGACCAAAACAGAAACAGTGGAGTTGTAACTTTAAAAGACTGAACAACAGCAAATTATAAATCATTCTAAACGTAAATTTTTGTGAGGCCATCATAATCTTGAGACTTGTCTAAATTCAAGGTTACTGTTGTAAGAATTTACCTTGTATTGTTTTTGTAAATAAATCTATAAAAATAATTTTATAAGATATAAATCAAAATTGTTATGAAATATGTAAATTTATAGTTATAAAATTGTTGAAAATTGGTTTCTTCAAGTCATGGTTTTACAATTTGGTTTGGTTTGGTTTTCGGCCGTGGTACTATTGAAGTCATGGGCATTTTGCCATATGAAAACTGAAAAGAAATATAAACCATAATGACGAAAACTGTAATTTGAGAAACGAGGGCAAAAACTGTAATTTTTCAACAAAATAGGTTTACACCAAATATATATAGATCGCCCCCACTTATACAGCCATCAAAATGGATTGTGGTAAGCATTTACTATCCGGCAAGCGTTTACCGGGTAAAAGTTTTCTCTCACTTATCGGGTAAAATTCTTGGTTTGTTTTGTGCCTCTTATTAGGTAAGATTATCGGTCCTTGCCATTTTTACTAATGAGACAAGTGACACCCGGTAAGCACTTACCCGGTAAAAGTTTAATAAACGACTCCTTATAAAGAAAAAATAATTTCTGTTTCTTATAAGTTCTTTTTATTTTGTTTTAACATGTTTAATTTTTTAAATAAGTAAATAAAGACCATAGAAAATATAAACTATAAATCACACCGTCAAAGTTCTACCCACACGATTAAATGTGATACTTACGGATCATGTGATTTCTACCCCTATATCCATTGAAAAAACCGATTCCTACATTAAAATGAAACATGAGAGGGTATTTGGTTCGCACAATGATTTATAAAGAAATAGAATCTGTCAAAAGAATTGGGATCTTGAAGGAATTTGAATGAAATGTTATCATGTTTGGTTGACAAGAATATAATGTAATCTGTCTAATAAATTGGAATCTGCCTGTTTGGTTTGCAACAGAACTAGAATGGAATGATGAAAAAAAGACAAAAATACCCTTTCTGTGTGCCACCTATGTGGGTTGTAGAAGAGATTCAAAAACATATGAACCCCAAATGATAAAGAAACCCTTAAATAAAATTTGAATAAAGAAAACAAATACCGACTCGGACTTGTGGGTTGTAGAAGCATATTCAAAAACCTTACGAGGGGAGATCGATCGAACCATGGGGAAGAAGCACAAGGGCAAAGATCTGTTTCTACTTCTGCACAGGGACGAATATATGTTTTTGCACAAGGACGAAAATCTGCTTCTGCTTCTCCACAGGGATGRAGATCGAACCACAAGATGAAAATCCTACGATTTTGACAAGAAGAAAAAGAACAATTGATGATTGCTTCTGCTCTGTTTTCAAACGACAAGAGAAAAGGAACAAAGAAATATGCTTCGATTTCAGAGGATCGATTTCTCCCCCAATGTCTCAGAGGGTTTTGATTGCTAGGTTCAATTTCACATCGTCGGTCTTCTACTTCGCCTTTCCATCATCGGACTCCCCTTCCCCAACTTGCTTCTCCTCACCATTTCATAAGCGGAAATTGAACTAAAATCGGAACAAAAATCGTATGCAGAAATCGAAGTAAGTAGAAACCAGAAGCAGAAATCGTAACTATCTTCGATTCGATCGGTTGGAAGCAGTCGAGAGAATGGAAGCAAAATTCAGGTAGGAAGCAGTCAAGAGAATGGAACCAGTTGCCATGGGGGTTTTGTCATTTACACAATTTTGGATGGAATGAATTTCAATTCCATTAGTTTTAGGAAGGAATGGTGAAATCTTTGTAATTCAATTCCATTCCATGGGTAATCTAACATTGGAATGGAATTTGGTCCACGGAATTGACCATTCCAATTCCATCAGATTTCAGAGGATTCCGACGAACCAAATGCCCCCTAAAAATTCAAACAATTGATTTATACACAACTAACATAATCATAAAAATTCAAACAATGATTCTATTTCCCTTTCATTATCTTGACCAAACTCTAGTATTCACATCCCTTCACCTTTTGAGCTTGTTCTTTGTTACTCTAACCTGCAAACGGTTTTGTCGATCTCGTCAATCGTGCAAATGCTTTCGAAGGTCAATCTGACACACCTTTTCATCGACTAAAGAAGCCGATGAAACCAATGAGGAAGAAATCAAAGTGTTTTCGACCCCATCTCTATATACACCTTAATTCTCAAAGTGACTTGGTGCATTTAACCGGTATCGACCCATGTGTAGTAGTCAGTTGATTGCTAGACTTCAAAAATCTTCGATTCTGAGTCATGACTCCCACTGGGGTGCGTGTCGTTGACCATGTTTTCCGTTCATTTGACTTCTCATATGAAAAGGATTGTATAGATGCTAACCACTCCGATTGCATAGTTGGCTTTTCTTCAACCTCTTTTATCTGCAATTCAAGATTCTAGTCACAACTATTTAGCTCAATGACCTCCATAAGCTCGTTTTGCAAAATGACCCTTTAGTGTAATTCTATGTTTTTACGGAGTAGACAGTTTTAAACCAGGCAAGGGCCGACCTATGAATCCTGGAGCGGGTTCCTGTGTACTCGCCCCACTTATTTTTGCAAGTAGAATTTTTTTGGAACACCAACCAAAAAACTGAAAAGTCTCTCGAAATCAACTGAACAACTTAAAAAATCACTCGAAAACTGTGGAATTTGGCTAAAAACACCTTAAAGGTGAAGCCGTTCCGGCAAAAATCCTGGGTCCGCCACCTCTAACCAGGGGCAGTCTATTCTGAACCAGTCAGATAAAGGAAAGCTTTAAAAAGTCACGCTCCTTGTTCGAAAGTCGTTTATCCAAAGGACCCATCACAATGTGGGATGTGGTGGAATATCCCATCTGCCCTGGGTTCAATTCGAGACGTCCACAACAATTATGGCCACTGAGTTTATTAGAACTGATCTCTTACCGTCACAATTTGTCGGAATTAGTCTGGTCATAGCCTAAGACACCCTTCCAAAAAAAGGGCATGTTTGGTTTTCTAACAAGAACTATAAAAACTTTTGTTCGTTCGAGTTTCAAGACAAGTTACCAGGCTTGAATTTCTAAAAGTCAAAAGTGAGGATTTGTTGCCATGAAAAGGAAGAACCTTTTGATTCCGCATCTAAGAGCTTGTGTGGTCATCTTGCCTTTCTAGCCCATTCTCAAGTTTCTTGATCTGCATCAACAATGCATAACATATTCATAAATAACTAGTCGAGATGCGATCATTGTATCATATCATCTTGTTAATGTGATTGCAATCAAGTCACATGGGATGTGATCTATCATTACATTCGATATGCCATATCACATTAGTAACATAACTGAATGCTTTCTAAACAACCTTTTCTTCAGAAGCCGATAGTTTGAGCTCAAACATTTGTGTTCGTTCCTTCAACTTGTTTTCTACCTCCGTCACCTGTTTCAGCATAAAAGAAATTATTGCAACACTTTCTTTCCAAGATATCCCATCAAAATTGCAACACTTTTTCCTAGAAAGATTCCATGTTAGATTTACCGGCTTGCCCATTATCACTACCACAAATCCAAGAGTATCTTCTATAAGAGTGCATTTGGTATCCACACAGGACAGAACAGCTGTTTAGCATTTGGTAAGATAGAACTGGACAAGACAAAATAGATAAAATGACCAATTTACCTCTAATGAGTTGTTTATATATTTTGATTAGTTTATGTAATTTATTAAATTATAATAAAATAAATATTTTTTTATAACAAAATTCATCATTAGATATTTTCGTCAAGACGGTTAATAAAAAGTGTATGTAGTTTCTAATTTTTTTATACCTTTCCTATGTTATTTTTTTTATTAATTAAATATTTAGTAAGTTATATAATTAATCAAAATATAGAACCCGTGGAAAAATAACATTTTGAGAACAGTAAAGTGAGTTTAAAGAGCATAAAATACAACAAATAAAATTTAAAGAATGAATTAAATATAAAGAGGGAGGCGCATTTGATGTTCTAGAATAAAATTAGGTTTTATTTTGAGGTTATATTGGTAAAATATAGGTTTGTTTCACCTTGTTCTATAGGGTGCGGGTGGAAGAGGCTGTTCCACTTTGTTCCACTCTTTTCTTATTTGTTTCATATAAAAGTTCTGCCAAACATAGAACAGTGATTCTTTTTTTATTATGTTATGTCCAGTGTACCAAACTCACCCTTAGACTAGGATAGGATTGAGTGGGACAAAAAAATCATTTTTCCCCATCAAAATAGGTGAGATGGAACAAGCTTGGAAAACTACTAAGCTACCTATGTCAAATTTAAACCCAAAACCTTCTACGATTCTTTCACACGCCTACCTAGATCTCTCTCGCCCATCCAATCGTGTTCAATCTTGCATATCAAACGCATCCCAAGAACACATTAGCTCCAAACATTTGAAACTTCTAGCAAGTAGACCTTTTTCTGAAGAATCAAGCATATGTCTTGTTTTTCCTTAACTTCATCAGAAATTTGTGAAGTTTGTTTCTCAAGTTGCTTGCATAAGTGTGATTTCAACTCAAGTTGGCCTGCAAGATCATCCTGTTGACCTTTCTGCATCTGATCCTTGCATTTAGCCTTTCACTTCCAAGCTCTGTTGATTTTCTTCCAACTTTTTTTAAAGCCTCGTCTTTGGATTTCAGATCTTGCTTTGCTTTATCGAGCTAGAGCTAGAAATCATCCAAAAGCAATCGAGGTAAACCTTAGGAAGCAATTTATAAAGAAAAGTAACATGAACATGACTGATTTTATCAAGCATACCCATGATTTCAACTTTTGAATCTCCATCTGTTTCTTGGCTGGGCCCAAGTCAACACCTCAGACGCGAGTCGTAAAATTTAAACAACTTAGGGTCTCACTCATGTATATATTGCTCTGATG